AATTTGGTACAATTTTCAATGAATCCTTCAACATAATTTAATATACCAAGGAAGTTTTGTAATTGTTTTTTATCTTTGATTTTTTCAGGAAATTCTTGAAGTTTTTCTCCAATATGAGATTGCAATTGCAATTCTCCTTCTTTTATAAATAATCCTAAAAATTCTATTTCTGTTCTAGCTATCTCAGCTTTTTTTTGAGAAAATGTAATACCATATTTTTTCATAATATAACAAAATTTCTCAAGATGTTCAATATGTTCATCAATATTATTTGAATGAATAAGTAAATCATCTACATATGCAATACAAAAATGAGTAATTGGTTTGATTATCTCATCCATTCTTCTTTGAAATATCTGTGGTGCATTTCTCAACCCAAATGGCATTACATTCCATTCATATTGTCCTAAAGGATTGGGGGTACTAAATGCAGTTAGTGGTTTACTTTCTTCTGTAAGCATGATTTGCCAAAATCCTGACTTACAGTCAAATTTTGAAAATATCTTTTTGTTTTGTACTTGTTTAATAAGGGTGTCCTTATTTGACAAGTAGTATCCATCAAATTTAATAACTTCATTTAATTTTTTGTAATTTATCACCATTCTGACTTTTCCTCTTTTTATCTCACTATGTTTTCTAACCATAAAAGTTGGGCTGTTATGTGGACTTTTACTAGGCCTAATTAACTTGGCTTCTAGCAATTCTTTTATCTGATTTTTAAATTCTTTTTGATCATCAACACTATATTTCATGGGTTTGACTCTAATAATAGTGTCTGAATTGGTTAATTCTATTTTTGCCTTTACTTTGTTTGTATTCCATTTTTCTAATGGATTTTCAGAATATGTTTCAGAAATTTCTTTTTTCAGTTTTTCAATCCTATTTTCTGTTGTCATTTTTAAGACTGTAACTGATTTAAATTTTTCTGTACTCCAATATCCACCACGCTGGGTTGAGGAACTCTGATAGTTTATATCTGTATATGCTATCTAACAGCTTTATTTATTTTTGGTGTAAATATTTTATGTGCACAAGGTGTTGTGAACATACACTTATCAATATATTGTGTAAATGGTGCATATTTTAATAGAAAATTTTGTCCTAATAAAATATCACATCCAATTGTGGTTGACATATATATTGTATCAACAAATACTTCTCTAAAAGAAATTAGAAAAGGTACTTGCGTAGCATATTTGCTATATATTACCTTATTTCCACCTGCTGTTGTATTGGTGACTATCCTCTTTGAATTGCATATCCAGTATTCAGATGGTAGTACATTTGATAAGCATAAGCTTATTGTACTTCTTGTATCTAAGTAAGCATGAAATTTAATTCTACAATAGCTTTTTATATTAAGTGTAATTTCAATATATGGACTCATGGGGTTAGTACTTATTACTCTTTCCATGATAACAATGATTTCATATTTTCATCTATTCTTGATATGATGATTGAGTTATCATCAATTGTTATCTTTAAATATCATTGGCAGATTTTATAAGGATTATATTTTTCAAGAAAAGTTCATTCCTAGTAGAATAGGTGAACGATCTACTCCATATAATTCATTTTTATATAAAATTATTTTTTTAGTATATTCTTTCTAGTCCTCTTCTATAAGTATAAGATGGAATTTAACATATTTTCTTATTTCAAGATTATTTCCTAAATAATCCTTAAATATATATGGTTCTGGTATTTCGAAATCTATTAAATGACTAACAAATTTAGCATTTAAATGACTTTTATCTGCTCCAGTATCTATGAGAACAAGAATATTCTTCTTAAATCCTTCTTGATTTACATATCTTGTCTTAATGTAATATTGCGAACTTGATGGTTCAGCAATAGTTAAATTCTTAAGTCTACTTATCTTGAAGTCTTGTCTAGAGGGAAATCTTGCAATAAAATTATCTCCTTCTAAACTGACACTATTTTTTCTTATTAATTTTCCTTCAGAATTAATTTCTCTAGCTTGTTTGTGGAAATCAAGCATTATTTGTTCTGGTATAGTGATTTCATGTTCTTGGTATTTTCTAGAAGGTATATATTGTGCAAATTCCTCAAAATCTTTATGTATGATAATATTATCAGTTATCTTTCTTAAGTTGTTATGATGGCTAGTACTAAAAGTAAAGATTGATTTTATGCTTATACTAATAGCCTTACTTCTTCGTAACATTTTTAAGTTTCCAATTCTATACTATAGATTGAAATTTTGGTCAATATTTTCATCATTTAATGATATTGCATAATTTGGTTTTACTGTAAATATTATCTTCTGATAGACTAAATTTCCTACAACTGTTTCTAATAGAGCATCTATAGGATCTTGTAAGATTCTATTGTCCGTACAATATATTTCTATTAGTATATTCATATCTTCTCTAAAGAATCCTTTCACCATTATCTGGACTCCTCCTAATTCAATACATTTCAATTTATTTCTTACATTCTCTGAAATTTTGGATAACTTTTGTTTTACCCATTCTTTTGTAATTATAGGAATTCTCGCTTTTCCTATTGTATCTTCTATATTGATAGACATTTCTTTATAATTCATACTTACAATTGTTTTACTTACTCTTGGTAAAATTCCTAAAAATCTTTGATAGAATACATTTTTTTCTTGTAGGTCTAATATCTTCTTAGTGATTCTGTGTATTTTTTAATATCAAAGGTAATTTCTTGATTTATACCTTCTATAGAGTTTTCAACTTCTTCAGTTGTTTCTATTTCTATTTCTGATTGTTGTATCTCATGATTCATATATACTATCTCATCATAATCTTCTTCTGATGAGGATGTATCTAATTCATAAATGCTACTGCATTCACTACTTAGCTCTTCAAAATATTTAATTGATTCTATATCACTATTTTCTTGGAATTTTTCATAAATTCTAAGAGTTTTTATATTTTGTCTATCTTTCTTTTTAGGACATTAAGGGCAATGTGTCCTTCTTCATTATAAATAAAACATCTACATTTTTTAATGTTTCTTGGTTTAAATTTCTTATTCCAATTTCTTTTCTTAAAATATTTTTTATGTGGTTTAAAATTAATTTTCTTGAATTTTTTGTAGTTTTTGAATTTTCTTTTATATTTTTTATATGATTTATATTTCTTCTTATGACATCCAAATTGTTCAACTTGGCCCTTATTTTCATAACAACATAATGAATTTTTTCTTATTTTATATACTTTTTTATTTTCTAAACCTTCTCTATATCATATGCCTATAATTCTTTTTGTAAATTCAATTCTACTTCCAAAACTATTTATTTTTACTCCTTCCTCTTCTCCTAGAGGTAATAATTTTTCATATTCTTTTAATAACTTAATTCCCATGGGAATGGTAACTTAGTAAAATAAGATCTTAATATAGATTTATTTTCCTGATAATTTTCTTGATTTAATATATAATATATTTCTTCAAATTTACAAGTATATCTTTCTAATTCACATATATCACATATCTTTAAATTTTTTATTGCTATCATTCCTTGATTATATTCATCTTGTTTCCTTTCTTCATCATTAGAAGTATATCTATCTCCTAAAAATTCTGTTCTTAAGATTTTTTCAAATCTTTTTAATATCTCCTGTATATTTTGTTCATTTAAAGAATTCCTATTATCTAATACCTCAGTTCTACCTGCTCCATATTTTATTCTTCTTTTAATAATTTCTGGTAATTTTCTCCACCATTCAGAAATAATTCCTCTGAATGTATATTCTATAAATCCAAAAGCTGTATATGTTTCCCATTTATTAAATTGTATTGCTAAATCTGTACTTTTCATCCATGTTTCAATAGCTTTATTTTTATCTACACAGTCTAAATCTAACCATATTCCTGTTGTATGGATTGGTTCATTATAAGATTTCATTGGATTTATTTCTTCTATGGATTGTTTCCTTACATTTCCAGTGTATCTTTTTTGTGTTTTTTCTATATTGATTACTACCATCCTTAAGTGGTATTGTAGTACCATAAGGTTAATCATATTCTTCATCACTGCTAAATTCTATTTTTATATTTTGACTTGATGATGAATTAGTATTCCTCTTTGTATTTTCCATTTTTTTAGTTAGTTCTTCTAACTCTTTTTTATATTCTTCACACTCTTCTCCTGTAGATTCTAAGAATTTTTGTTCTATTTCTTCTACATCTGTAATCATATATTATTTTTCTTCATATTTTTTCCCTTTATTATTTTCTTTTTGTGTTATTCTAAAATCTTGAGGTGGATTAATTATAATCCTATCTTTTCCTTTAATATTTTTATCTAATAGAGCATTTCCTACTTGTAGATTATGTTCTAAATTTTCTAATCTTTTATGTATATCCCCAAAATTTTCGTTTGTGGTGTTTTTAAGTAAATAGGGATAACTAGGTTTTTTATATTTTTAAACTTTTTTCAAAAATTCTTCAATTATATTTTCTTCATCTACTATATTCATCATAATTTTTGGTTCGTAACCTGACTTTGATACCATTTCTTCGGAGTGTGCAGTGGAGGGGTTAAGATTTTTGAGCCAATTAAAATCTTCATAAGTATTTAAAATATCATAATAGAATTTATAAAATTCACTATTTTTTATTAATACTTTTTCTTCAACAATTATATTTAGTTCTTTAATTCTTTTTCTCAGGTTAAGAATTACTTTATATCATTTTTTATTTTGATTGTACTATTATCTACAGAAACGTTTTTATTTTTTAATTTTGGATCTAAATATTCTGTAAAGAATCCTTTCAGATTTTCTTCTAAATAATTTAATTCACTTTCTGTTGCGTTTTTTAGATCAATAAAATTTTGTATAATATTTGGAGTTAAATTTATTAAAAATTTTTGGTCTATATTTTTTTTTAGGATCTAATTAAAGGTTTTTATACATTATAGTGGTTTTGATTACAATTTCACAATAATGGATATTTCAGGAAAGATAATTGTTAAAAGACTATTTTTCAAATGTTAATCATACAAATCTTCCTTATCGAGAGCTATTTACTCACCAAATCCGCAGCCTCCCCCCACTGCGCCCCACTCGCAACTCCGTCGCCGTCGTCGTGTACATTAAACCCTCCTCCACAATCTCTGATTCACCCAAATTCTCTCTCTCGCACTTACAGATACAGCGCGTGTAAAAATAATATGATATAAATATACATTGTATATGCACAAACATTCCCCAATTTGCCGATATGATTTCTTTCTCCTCCGTTCAATCCACCGCGGCGGCGGCGGCCGGCAGCACCGGTCTTTTACCTCATTACGATTTCCATAAGTTATCCTTCTCACTTCCATCAAAACCAACTCAATTTCGGTGTTATTCACACCGGCGGCAGCAGGGCCTACGCATCAGGGCCATTGACGCGGCGCAGCCCTATGATTACGAGGCCTATCTCATCAACCGCTTCGAACAGTCCACCAAGCTCAAAATTGCCGTAGTTGGGTTTGGAAACTTTGGTCAGTTCCTTGCTAAGGCCTTCATCCGCCAGGGACACACTGTTTTCGCGCATTCTCGGTCGGATTACGCCTCCATTGCACAATCCCTTGGTGCTGCTTTCTTTTTTGATACTCATGATCTATGTGAACAACACCCTGATGTAATCCTTCTCTGTACCTCTATAATTTCTACTGAATCGGTACTTAGGTCTCTCCCGATACTACGGCTGAAGCGCAATACGCTTTTTGTTGATGTTCTATCAGTAAAAGAGTTTGCGAAGAATGTTTTCCTGCAAGTTCTTCCTACGCATTTCGATATTCTCTGTACTCACCCAATGTTTGGCCCTGAAAGTGGGAAAAACGGCTGGCAAAATTTGCCTTTTGTATATGAAAAAGTGAGGATTGGGAATGAAGACTCTAGATTTGCACGGGTCGAGAATTTCTTGGACATTTTCAAGAAGGAGGGGTGTAGGATGGTGGAGATGACTTGTGCAGAGCATGATAAATATGCTGCTGGATCACAGTTTATCACACACACAATGGGGAGGATTTTGGAGAAGTTACAGTTGGATAGCACTCCAATCAATACCAAAGGGTATGAGACTTTGCTGGACTTGGTGGAAAATACAGCCAGTGACAGTTTTGATCTGTACTACGGGTTGTTTATGTACAATAAAAATGCAATGGAGCAAATTGAGAGATTGGATTTGGCATTTGAGGCTTTGAAGCAGGAGCTGTTTGGACATTTGCATGAGGTCTTGCGAAAGCAGTTGTTTGGGAAGGCTGAGGCTGGGATGCGGAGTCCAGTTCTGGCAAAGTTGCCCAAGAATGGGACACCTTTGTTGCCGGCTCAGTCAGAGACCTTGGAGAATAATGATAATTAGGATGGTTTCTATTTGTATTTGGTATCTTCTGAATTGCTATCTCTCGATTTAAATGATTCTGTATTGAGCCTATAGCATATAAAAATGACCAAGTAATTTCATGAGTTAGTAACAAGTGATGAATTGCATGCTGTTCGTATTTGTATCTTCTGAATTGCTATCTCTCAACTTAAATGATTACATATTGAGCCTATAGCATGTAAAAATGACTAAATTATTTCGTGAGTTAGTGATAAATGATGAATTGCATGCTGTTCGTATTTTCATTCTCAGAAAAGAACTTGAAAATGTGCATTGAACCTTATCTTATTGAGAGGAGCATTTAAAATTGAGAAAATGCTCAACTTCAAAGTTTTCTTAAATTGACACCTGTGAAGTGGCAGATCATATTTCTTTTTGGATCACCTGTGTTATATTGAGAAGCTTTAGTTTGCAATTTGGAGAAAAAGAGAATATCAAGGGGTCTAATTTCTATACCGTAAATGCTAAATATAATCAAATGCTCGGTAATTGTAGAGCTAAAACAGGAATTGCCATTGTGAATGGAGAGAATAACTCCCATAGAGGTTGAAGTGTGCGCTTAATTAGCTTAAGGACATGCCTCACTCACAAAGCAGAGTAATTATTTTGTTGCTTTTAGTGAAGCTTCTAGTAAAAGATAATAGTCATTATCGTTTGGTCAGAATTCTACTCACGAAATTGACTTCACCCAAGGAGCAGTAATGTCGAAACTGCTAAACTTAAATGCATAAATGATATGCAGTTAGAGGACTTCTTTTTAAGCTAAACAGATTTGGTTATATGCTAATCGAAGTGTTTTCTTACCTAATTTTCAGAAAAGGGGGATAAAATTGCCTCTCTCTCTCTCTTTTTGGGGGGTGGGGGGGGTGGGGTGTGACTTGAATGAATGATTAGTCTGTAAGATGCTTAAATATACCCAATGGTGTTCGATGATCAGAAAGTGGCAATAATTTAATCATGACGTATCGTCAATTATTTTGAGTTTCTTGATCGTAAGCAAGTTGTCATCCCAAAACCATTTGTTTTAATGGTTTTATTGCCTTGTCTATGCGACATGACAAGTAGTTGGGACTTTCCATGAAGACTATGCTGGATTTACTCGTTGATAATAGACCCGCTTAAGGTTGAGGGACATAAATAATGTTTGTAAGGATGTGGGTTTTAGATTTAAGAAGGGTTGTAATTTGTGCTTCTTACATTTGAAAACTTGTTACGAGTAGAATGATAGAAGGAGGCCCTGCTACAGTTCTCACAATAAATGAGCAGTGTGAGATGCAAGTAAAGGTCTTAATGAAGTCTCCCTTAGGAGTTTTACGTGGGGAACTTGTGATCAATTATCTTTGGATGTTAATATTGTCAAGAAAGTTGTTTGTTTGCTCCATTCTTCTTCAAAGATCTTACTTGTGTTCTTTGAAGCTGATTTTCCTGAAGGATCTTTTCAAGCTAGAGAAGTAAAAATTACATGGTCAGGGTTAGATTGGAATTGAAAGTTATTATATAATTAAGTTAGCTTTGGAGCCGGGAGAACAAAGTGTCTTGGAAATGTTGTATTTCTTGAAAAATGAGAATGGAAATTGAAAAGTTAATTGGTGGATTAGCATGTGCCTATCAATAGTTTGGATCTTTTAAACTGAGGCTCTGTGATTTCATGGAAAACATCCTACACTTTCCAATATTTAGCAGGAAATGTTTTCTTGGTTGAAGGGATTTATAAGTTAATTTGGAATAATTGTTTATTCATAACTTACACCAACTTATGTCAGTGTCGAAACGCTCCATCTATCACCACCTGCTGCCACCATACCATCACGACCACTGTCAAATTGTCGGTAACCACGAACAAACTGCCGATGATTGACCAATGAATACTTTCTATTGGCTGGTTACAACCGTTTCAGTAGAAACTACTTTTCTTTTGTCAACAATCGTCAAGCAGTTGCTTGCAACCACCAACTGGCCACTGGAAACTAGTCTTCTGTCGTTTGCTTTAATCACCTGGTGACCTATGGCCACCGTGGAAAGGGCTTTTGGCGACAATTATTCAGTCAACAACAAATATTTATTAGTTAAAGACATTAGGAAAAAGGTAGGTCTAAAACTAGGAAAATTTATCTTAAGAAGAGTTTGTCACGATTTTGTAAGAATTATAGGTTTGCAAAATACAATTGTAATCAGAGGTCACCTCATTGTTCACTTATAAATGCCAGAGGAAAAGGGGGGGGGGGGTCTGTATCTGTGTCAAAAGTTAGCCATAGATGAAATAGAAAAACCATTTATTTACTAATTTGTGCATTGTGATTTTGTTATAGCTGTTTATTATTTCCATTGTGATTGCTGCTTTTTAAAATTCATATTGTTGACTAAAATAGCATGCTACATTGAAATTATGGTGTAAAAGATTTATTCTTTAAAATGTGATATTAATAAGACAGTATAATTCACTGATAAAAATATCCCTTTTATGCGAACTGTTGGGTCAATGATGAAGAAAGTAGTTGGAAGACCAAATCTAATCGCATGTTTATAAAGCAAAAATTCTATCTTTTGGAGCATTGGTTGTTCTAATATATTGTGATTGGCTTCAGAATTATTGTGTCGTGGCAAATGTTAGCTGTTTATGTACTTAATTGCACCATTTGTATCATTATAAATGCAATTCCATTCTGCTATCTTGTTAATTCCCAGCATTTCTCTTCCAGTAGATGCTAGTTCAAATTGCCGCTTGCTGCTCAATATTTTACCAATTCGGTTGATTTTTGATTGAAAATTGAAGATGCACAAACGATAGGAAACAGAAAGAGATATAAATTACGATTGGTCCCAAGAGTTTTTGAAATTTCTTTAATCAGCTTTGGATGTAACTCGAAAGATTGAGATCAAGAGCAATCTGCTATTTGTTTGTCAAAACATTTTTAGCTGTGTAGCTGTGAAACTTCTAACATTTTACTCAATCCTACGAAGGGCAGTAAGAGATACTTAGATCATGGAAATCATTTCTTTCTAATAGTTAATTATACTTCTTGTATACTTCGTCATTGCTTACTGATCTGTTCAATTAGGTTCAGATTTATTCTGAAGGCGTCATATATTTTTCCGGTGCTGTAGGAATGGTGTCAATTCTGCTGATCAAACGACAGCTGCTGGTATATGGACTCTGGCGTACTGCTTATAACTTATATAAGTAAATGAATTTCTTTCCTTTTCCTTATAAATTTATTTCATCTATTTCTGGTATTCTGCCAGGTTGTAGCTTTTTATTGTATACAAGCTGTTGTATGAGGTCCAGTTTCATCAATGTCATAAATGAAGCCTTCAGGGCTGATTTTGTTTGTGTTTCTGCAAATCAACCGTTGACAAATTTGAATTTTAATGTGTTTTTTCATGCTAATTTTTTCTCTGGGGTTTCATTACTCTGTTTCTCGACTGTTTTCCTACTAGTCTTCAATCTTTAGAGCAGTTTTTTAAGCCCAAGATAGGTGATTATTTTTATTTTTATTTATTTTTTTTGGAAGTTTCAATTATTGCATTAAGGGCATGTTTTGCATACTAGAATTGACCTTTTTTTGTTCATTAATCTCGTCCCGTCCTATTTTATTAAATGACTGGTGCTGCGAAATGCAGACGATATAGAGGAAGGCATACAATCAGTCGAAAGTCTATTTATGGGCCATCCCATAAGTCTTTATAAGAGTTACAGTGCAATAAAATTGCAAACAAAATGCAAACAATGAATGTAGAGGAAACTGGATATTATTAAGAAATAAAAGGAAATTATAAGTTTGTCCATTCGACTATTCAAAGTCATCCAGTTCTACGTACCAAAACATGAGAAAATTTATATCTTTAATGCATCAATGGGTCTCTTTCCCAGCTGGTAATGTTGAAAATAAATACTGACATAATCTTTAACTGTCTTGTACATTCTTGGGTTTTCCTCATTGATGAGTTTCTCCACGGGTCCAATCTCCATTTCTGATCCTGGTATAAAAAACACAGCCAGTGTATTTCTCTCCTCCTCTGAATTAGTAACCACTCTATGCACAGGGCTCTTAAGTATTCCATTGCTCATTATCTGCAAAAGTCATTTCTAACTATGTCAAAATAGACTCGATCATGGTCGAGTATGAAGAACAGGGGTCGACTTATCAAGTGTAAAATATGTTGAGAAAGATGATCAAATTATACCTCAACTTGATCTCCAACATTAACAAGAATAGAGTAAGGAACAACAGGGACTCTAAACCATTGATCATCTTTCAACACTTGAAGACCTTCAACTTCTTTGTCTTGTAAGAGGAAAGTGATGGCTGAGGCATCCCCGTGTGGTTTTACACCAAGTGCGAGATCGGGCCTCGGACAAGCTGGGTAGAAGTTGAATCTTGCTACAATTGATGCACTTTCACTTTCACCGTACTGTTGGAGAAAGCAATTCTCCTCCAAGTTTAGTGATCTTGCCATGGCCTTGAGAAGAAACTCATTCAAGTTTTTTAACTTCATTACATATTCTTCCAAAACTCCCCTGCGATATTTTAGACATGATAGCTAATATATTGGTTCATCGATCAGAAATAATCGATATTCGTTTTCAGATGACTCTCATAAACTTTTCTAACACGAAAAGAACTACTAACGTTTATTTGGAATCAAGAATGGTCTTTTTCTTCCGTTTATTGTCGTACTATGGCACTTTCAAATCTCTAGAGACTTTGATAAGATACGGGTGTCTAAGGGGAGCCAAAGGGTGAGCTTACCATGGGACGTATTATTTCGGAGAAATGACCATAGGAAGCTAACTTTAGAATTAGAAGATACTAAGTTGGATCCCAAATTGACGTAGATATATACGAAGGCTTGACTCGATATCTAGTACTAGGCAGTATCACACAAGATAACAAAGAAAAATTGAGCTGGCTTCTTTTTCTTCTAATTTCTGTCGACTGGTATGTAGTATAAGCATGCCAAATATGACGTCAAAGTCTCTTTCTCACCCAAGCCAAACATCGGCGTTGTGTTTCGATGTTTGGAATTTAGTCTCTAGAGCAGAATTCTAGAAAAATATCTATATAAACGAGCAGCAAAATCAAGAATAAAATGCAAATGAGCTATACTTACCGAAAATTTTGAGGATTTTCGGGCCAAAACTCGAGCCTTTTCTTATCTTCAGGGCTTATATTAAGATACAACCGATCAGTCCAATCAAGAATTTGATGTTCTGAAAGTACTGAATCAGTTCCATACCCTTCAATGTCATCTGCTGTTCTTCCATATTTCTGCTTCTCTTCCATTGGAAGTGCAAAGAATTCTTTGCTCACTTGTCTCAATTTGTCCAAATATATATTGGACATTCCATGATTTGTTGCCTGAAATATACAAAGTTTGACAATATTATAACGACGATGAACTAAATCTTATCCCTTATACATTGTGAGTCGGCTAAATGGATCATTTTTCAGCAATAATATCCTCTTATACCCTTTATATAGGAGGAAATTACTTGTGATGTTCTTCTCTCAAAGTTTGGTGAAGTGGTAAAGGAGTAAGAATTATCAAGTGGCAGAACATACTCGAGTCATTACCCAAAGTTTGTTTTCTTAGAAAGCGTAGCCCAAAGTACCCCTATATCAGTGTAGTTGTGCAAATCGATAGCTATAGTAAAACTTTGTGAAATCTAATGAAGTAATACAGTTTTATCCTACTATGATTTGATTATGATTATAATTGCTTTGAAATCAAACCTGAAAGCAACCACAATAATTGAGAGCTGACTGAAGTTTCTTGAGCTCGTTGACTCCGGCGGGCGATGGCGAGATCAGAAGGCTCAGATCAATTGATGGAACATCTAATAATGGAGCTGAGGCACAGATGATCCCTCCACTGCTACCTCCTTTATGGATATATCTCTGTGGTACTTCATTGTAGCGTTTCTCGGACAGTTCTTGGACTGAGTTGGACAGAGATTCTATGTTTGCCGGAGGAGGCGGAGGCAGCGATTCAGCCATTGTTTTTTTCTCTACTTTCGATGGTGAGAAAGATGGAATTTAACAGCGGAAATATATAAGATTCAAATTTATTTTGTATAACGTGAGTGCTGACATATGTGATAGAGAAACGACAAAAGAATTAAATTAATTTTTTTCTTGTATCCAAGTCTTAGATTAAACAGTGGGACATTCCAGTTGTGTTTCATAGAAGTGCCTGTATTCTAGAGATGTCAAATATTCAGACCCTTCGTGGGCTTAGTGTTTATTAACATTGCACTATTTTGATCTGATCTTTCATTTTAATTTTAAATTTTCAATCTAAGTCATATTTAAATCGAGAGGATATGGATTAAGTTCGATATTTTTCTTTATGTTTTATTTTTTTTTTACCTATAAAAGGCTGCGTGTATTTTTATCTATTCATGGAGACAACCATTCTACGTATTTGAAACGTAGGGGACGATTCTTGTGACAATAATAGCTCAGAGGCAACTTGTTATGATTAAAAGTTTGGTGACCTTCAAATTCAATTCTGTTTCCCTTGAAGTGTATATATGTCCTTGCTTCAGTCCCATTTTTTTGGAAAAATATATTTTTTACCAGTATTTTAACATAATTTCAACAACACATTTTTCAATAAAATAATATTAAACGTAAATCTAAAATATTTTCTTGTTTTTTAACCACACATTTTCATCAATATATTATTCAAAAATTCATTTTTCCCAAAAAATGGGGTTCAAACGAAGGCATATGCATGAGAGATTTAATAAAATAAACTAATTTGTTGCCGGCTCAGTCAGAGACCTTGGAGAATAATGATAATTAGGATGGTTTCTATTTGTATTTGGGATCTTCTGAATTGCTATCTCTCAACTTAAATGATTCCATGTTGAGCCTATAGCATGTAAAAATGACCAAGTAATTTCATGAGTTAGTAATAAATGATGAATTGCATGCTGTTCGTATTTTCATTTTCAGAAAAGAACTTGAAAATGTGCATTGTACCTTATCTTATTGAGAGGAGCATTTAAAATTAAGAAAATGCTCAACTTCAAAGTTTTCTTAAATTGACGCCTGTGAAGTGGCAGATCATGTTTCTTTTTGGATCACGTGTTATATTGAGAAGCTCTAGTTTGCAATTTGATGAAAAAGAGAATATCAAGGGGTCTTAATTTCTATAGCGTAAATGCTAAATATAATCAAATGATCGGTAATTGAAGAGCTAAAACGGGAATTGGCATTGTGAATGGAGAGAATAACTCCCATAGAGGTTGAAGTGTGCACTTAACTAGCTTAAGGACGTGCCTCACTCGTAAAGCAGAGGAATTATTTTGTTGCTTTTAGTGAAGCTTCTAGTAAAAGATAATAGTCATTATTGTTTGGTCAGAATTCTACTCACGAAGTTGACTTCACCAAAGTAGCAGTAATGTCGAAACTGATAAACTTAAATGCATAAATGATATGCAGTTAGAGGACTTCTTTTTAAGCTAAACAGATTTGGTTATATGCTAATCGAAGTGTTTTCTTACCTAAATTTCAGAAAAAAGGGCGATAAAATTGCCGCTCTTCATTTTTTATTTTTTATTTTTTTTG